AAGAACAGAGAGTGGCTCAAATCCTCACACAGGGTATATCTGTCACAATTAATACAACCTCTCAAACCTCAAAATCATCTTTCCAAGCAGAGAAAAACAGGGATTTCAAACCATATGGTATCAAGAAACTCCTATCCAAGAATGAAGTAAGTGCCTACAAACTATCAAAACCCAGAAATCAAAGAGAAACATGCAAAACTGTACATAACAACTAAACATAAAACCTAGACCCAAAAATAACAATTAAACCCTAAAAGCATATAACCAAAATAGTTCCTCCCACACTTAAATCATACTATGTTCTTTTCTTTTCTGACATCCCATTATCAGATAGAGACAGAGAGATAATTAAAGGGTTCTCACAAGAGAGTACGTGTTGATCTGGAAGGCCAAACCACACAGCTCTCTTATCATTATGAATTCAGGTACGCTTCCGCTTGTTGTTTCTAGTGATTAACATGATAGATTTTATATTTTATATACATGATAGTTTTCAACAAAAGCTTAAATTTGGTTCTAACAATTGGTATTAGAGCCATATATCATGTTTGATCATTAGGAATATTTTGGATGCAAGATAACAAAGTTATTATTCAACGTAATATCATGTAAGGGATGTTTTTGTATTGATTTGCTCGATGTTAAATGATAGATTTCCCCTCTTTCTAATTTCTTCCTCTCTTTTTATGTGTTCCTCTTCTTTTTTTCTTATGTACTATTTTAACTCTCTAATCTCATCTCTAATACTAGACATAGTACTACAAGAATTATGACCATGTACACTAGAATGAGTACTCATCTTTGATCTAGAAAAGGTTTTCACAAATTTGTTTTCAAAAGGTTGGTAAAAAGGTTTTCACAAAGAATGAGTGATAAAAAGGTTTTCAAGATGCAAGATTGGTATGAAAAGGCCTAAGTATACAAATTGAACTATCAAGGGAGGTGGACTACTAAGAATCACTTAAAAACCAAGCCTTTTCAAGTAAAAATTACTAAGCCTTTTCACACTTTTCTCACAAAACAATTTTTTTTGCACAAAATTTATGTGTGTGTGTTGTGCACGCCCCCCTAGTAGGCAAATGAAGCCTTCTAAATGAAACAAATAAACAAACTAAAGTCCTAGGAAAATATACTACCAAAGCTTTAAAGCATTCAAAGGAAAGCACTTAAAGCATATGCTAGTCGGTTTCCTAGGTGAAGGTTTTCAAATCACCTTCAAACTACACGAAAATACCACCCAAAAAAATGAAGAGGTTTAAAATGGCCAATTACCATTCTTGATTACAATGGAGGGAATCTTACATGGAGAATCTTACCAGCGAGAGTTTAAAGAAGTAATCTTAAAAGATTTCAACTAACAATTCAAGGTGTTGGCGGACCTAATGAAGTAATTATTGTACATTTTCAAATAGTATTCTCTATTAAAGGATTAGTTACAATTTACGTGGAATAATCAAAAGAGCAAATAAAGTCACTTGATATTTTTTGGTTAAACTTCATATTCTTTTATCCCTTGTCATTGTTTCATGCGGATATAGTGTAGGCTTTGGAGGTATTTCTAGGCTACCAATGTCTCCTTCTAACATTTCCACTACTTTGTTCATTGAGGGACGATCATTTGGTTTCAATTGTATACACCAAAGTGCAATCATGAACATCTTTTTTGCTATTTCCTTTTCCTCTTTTGTGACATCTTCCATTTCTATATCTTTCTCTTCCTCAAGATTTTTATAAATCCAAAATGGAAAGTAGAGTTGGCTTGAATGCTCTGCATTAGGATTTAGGTTTTTCCTCTTACTTGCCATCTCCATCAAAAGCATTCCAAAGCTATAAACATCAGCTTTATGGGATATCCCCCCAATATTTTTATAAAATAATTCTGGAGCCATATACCCAATTGTCCCTCTTACACCTGTCATTGTGACAATGTTATTATCTATTGGGTATAACTTTGCCAGCCCAAAGTCAGAGACTTTTGGATTGAAATTTTCATCCAACAGGATGTTGTGGGGCTTGATATCAAAATGCAAAATTTGCATCTCACACCCATGATGGAGATAAGCAATCCCACGAGCCACTCCAATTGATATATTATATATTTTATCATAACTTAAATTTACACTTCCATCTTTGGAAAAAATAAATTTATCAAGAGATCCATTTGGCATGAATTCATAAACAAGAGTACGTTTTGACCCCTCAACACAAAATCCAATTAATTGCACTATATTCTGATGATGTATTCTTCCGATTGTTGCAACTTCACTAATAAAATCTTGTCCATTTCCTTTTGATTTACCTAACATTTTAATTGCAACATGTGGCCCACTACGCAACTTTCCTTTGAACACAGAGCCATATCCTCCTTCACCCAACTTGTCTTTGAAAGCTCCACCCATTTTCTTAATTTCTTTGTATGAATATCTAATAGGCATCAAGTTATTGTGTTGTAGATAGTTTTCAATACTTTCAAACATTGATGAATGTCTTTTCCTCCATTTGTATATTAAAAACACAATAACCATTGGCATCCCAAACAAAAATTTGCATGTCCATGATATAAAGACCAATGAGGCAATAGCTGCAAGAAAATTTTTAGTTAAGTTAATAAATATCATGATAAAGAATCATTTGATTACTTCATTAATAATAAAGATTCCACATCAACTAGTTCTCACCTTACAAATCGATTATGTAATGTTGATTTAGGACCAAAGTCTACTATCTTAAGAGAAGATAAAAAAATATCATTGCCATCATTGTTAATCTTATTATGTTACCCGTTATCATGTTGTTAGCAAACCACCTACAAATGTTCACCATAAGCCTAACAACAATTACTAGATCATAAGCTCTAGTATTGACTTAAGAATGTGGATTTAAGTAAAATATCGATTTGGCTTTTAAAACATACACTAACATATATCCATTTAGATAGTAATATTACAAAAAATAGTTTTGAACTTAAACAATATCAATCAACATGGTTGTTGACATTGGTATGTAGGAGTAAATTGTAACATCTTGATTTTTTAAGTTAAAAATAAAATAAGTTGTTTAAATAAAAGTTATATTATGAACTAAATTATTTTATTCAATTGAGTCTATAATTAAATATTTTTTTTAATAAATAAAAGAAAATAAAATAGGTAGTGGGTTAGAAAAGAGCCATGGATTGGACTCTAGAGTCTAACGTAGAGACTTACTAAAAAAACAAGGTTAGGTCATGTTACACATCTATTCTAAACCCTAAAAGTGAGTGCAACAAAAACCCTAGAAGGAAACATCGAAGAGCAAGTATAGTAGCATTAGAGATGTTGGGAGAGTATGTCTGTGCCTATGCCTCAAAAGTTATTATTTGAGGTAAAGGGGAGTGGGAATGTCTTATTCTTGGACACGTATGAGGGGTAAGGGTAGTGAGGCAATCCTTGAGCCTTTTAGGTTGTTAGTTGGATTTTTTTTATTCCTATGAGAATAATCTAATAATTGAAACTAATGTATGATGATTGTTGGTGAAAATTTTGTTACTAAATTAATCATGTGTTGAATTGAATTGTACAAGGGTTGGGGTTTGTGGAGAAAAGATAAAGATTAGAAAGTGGGGTTGATGGAGGACCATCCACAAACAGTTTACACTTAAAGACCATTGGACCTTTGACTAGGTCCATGGTTAGGAAGCTAGAGGAAGCTTCTATAGAGGAGGTGTTTCTTAGACCTATGCTCTATAAAAGTATTAAGTATGATTCCTCTTTTTAGTTTCATAGTCTCTATTGTACATACCTTGTATAATTTAAGTTCTTTTACCTTGTATATAGTAGATACTTGTATAGGCTTATTTTTTCCTTTGTATTTGTAAGGAACCTTTATCTTTCTTTGCAGGTCATACCCTTAGGATTTTAGGGTATGTTTCTTAGAGAATTTTACTTCATTTGACCTTGTATTAAGGGTCATAGATTTTCATATTTTTAGTTTTAGTAGTGGGGTAGCAAGTAGCAAATGTGTAGGTGAAGATAGTAATTGGGCCTTTAGTGGGCCTAGGCCAAATTTTACATGTTAGACTTGTTTTTCTCCATTTAATCCAAGGAATTGATTTAACTAGGTCTCACCATCATTTGGTGAACCTAACTAAACCAATTCCAAGATTTTGGATTGGACTAGATGAAGCAAAACAAGCCTTGGCCACCCACCCTTCTCCATGGCTAGAATTAGTAGCTTCTCCAACACATTTTGTCTTTTGGCTTGCCAAGCGGACAAGGTGACACTTGACACTATGATTGACCCTTTTAGGTCTAAGTGTATTCTCTTTGTCTCCTAAGAGACAAGGTGACACGTGGTACTCTATGATTGGATAATCTAGAGCTAAGTGTCCCTACCTTGTCTCTACCTTATCTAGCTTACACTACAAGCTTCTCCATTACTATATATAGGTTATTTCACTTGTAAAACTCACTTTTGGATGATATATGAGATTTTGCCAAGTTTTCTATTAAGAATTCTCTCTTTCAAAATTCTAAATTCTCTCTTTGATTTTTTCAATTCTCTTATCCTCTTCCTAAGAGTGTGGTGAGAGTTGAAGTGGGTTATCTTCTATCTTGAAGTGACACGACTTGAAGAAAGTTCCTCACCTTTGAAGGTGAAACTAGAGGTCTTTTCCTTTATTGGAGATCCTGGATAAGCTTAAGGAGTATCATGAAGCAAAAGATCTAGGAAGGAACTTGAAGGAGAAGCCATATCAATTCCTCAATAAGGTTTCCATCATTTGGCATCAAGATCAAGGTCTTCATGGTAAACACTTTCCTTAAGCTTCCTTGTATGTTTTGGTTCAATTGAAACACTTTGTTTAGTGTCTTGATTCGTGCTATATGTTTTTTTCTTGATTGTGTAATGTTTGTATGGTTTATAACTGTTCTTGTATCACAACTATAAATCTACAGAACAATTCAAATTGTCTTGCATGTTTTTGATTTATACATTAATATTTGTGAATCAATCTTGTTGTTTGCTTTTAGGATATTCTTGTACCCGTATCTTAATGTTTTAGGTTTGCTTATATCTTGTTGAAACTCCAAAATATTCGATCAAAAGAAACTACAAAGAAAAACAAGTAGTTGAATGCATTTTTCATTTCTTAATATCCTAGTTTAATTTGTCTTAGAATTCTTGTGTTGTTGCTTTACTTGTCTTTACTTATCTTGTGTGCCTTTTTCTTTTGAAATCTATAAACACTGGTCTCTGTTTAGGTTTGGTTATATTGCTGGTTGCACATGTAATTACTCTTAGAAGTTTTCATTGAATGATTCATATGCATGTTATTAGACTAACATGTTCTAGTGTCAATTTTTGTGAACTTCACTTGCTAACTCTTATAAATTAAGGCCAGAAATTCCTTGTGTCTTTTGTGCTTTGTTTGAGAAAAAGAATCAGATTAGGAAGTGTAAAATGAAAATTAAAGAAAGTGTACAAAAAAGAGAACAAACTAGAAGCAAAACTAGTTACTAGTAATATAAAAACTTGTCTAGTACACTTATACTTCCTATACCTCTTTTCCACAACTTGTAAACCTTTTTTAATTCATTATTAAGCCTATATTTTAGTGCTCATGTTCAGTGTAAAAAAAAAAAACCAAGAAGAAAACAAAAGAAAAATAAAACAAAAGGAAAGCTAGAAAAACAAAAGTGTAAAACAAGTTTAGAGCACTTGACACTATAATTTTTTGTGTATTTTTCCTTTGGTTTAATCTCTATCTAGTGGCTAGAAACATACTAATAACTCTCAAAATTTTAGCACAATTTTTTTATTATTTTGTAATCAACTTTAGTACAATTTCTAGGACTATTCTTTTGAAAGCTAGTGTTGAAATTGTCCTTTAATTGTTGATTTGTGTCTTTTAATATTCTTTGAGTTTGTCACATTAATTCTTACTTGAGTTTAGCCTCTTCTAATTTTTCTTTTTAGTCTTGATTTTATTGGCTTCCACTCTCTCTTGTTGGTTGTTATCTCTTGTGATGGAATCATGCCAAGGCCAAAAAGACCAAGAGGTGATACATTGAACGACCCAAGATGAATGGGTTAATCTTGAAGACCTTTCATATGATTATATATAGTAATTCCTTGTATAGTTCATTCTGCCTTCGTATTTGTGAGGCACTTTCTTTCTTTTATTATAGGATATTCCTTTGAGTATTTAGGGTATGTTACTTGGAGACTTTTTCTCTATTTGACCTTGTATTAAGGGTCATTAATTTTCATATTTTTAGTAGTAGAAGTGGGGTGTCAAATAACAAGGTGTGTAGATGTAACTAGTAATTGGGCCAGGAATGGGCCTAGGCTAAATTTTATATATTGGGCTTGTTTTCCTCCATTTTTTTTCAAGTAATTGATTTAGCTAGGTCTCACCATCATTTGGTGAACCTGACTAAATCAACTCCAAGATTTTTGGATTGGATTAGATATGGGAAAACTCCATTGGCGCCTAGCTTCCTTCACACTTGGGAAGCTTGTGCTATACGCTTCTAACTTAGCTTGCTTCCCAAGCTTCTAAGTTAGAAGCTTGCTCCACAAGCCTCCTAAACCAACTAAGTCAGTCAAGCTTGACTAACCATGGTTCTCTTGAACCATAGTTAGTCTAGCTTGCACCACAAGCTTCTCCCCACTATATAAGTCTTTTCCTTGGCTTTGTAATTACTTTTGACATTTATGAGATTAGAATTCAGAAAATTCTCTCTCTCAAGAGTCCAAAACCATGGAGAACTTTCTCTCCTTAAGAACCTTCACAAGGGAATCCTTTCTTTGTGCCTTGCTTCATTAAACTTCTTCTTTTCCTTCAAGAAGAGTGCGCCACCATTGTTGTTTCCTTTAAGCTCTTGGAGCTGGAACCTCAATCTGTGAAGATCCTTCAACCTCAAGAGAATATTGGACTTGAAGATGGAGCTATATTGAATAACCTTAATCACTTCAACTAGACGTGTACATCATTTTTGGTATCTAGAGCCATGGTTGCTCTTGAGGTTATGTGTTCCTTTCTTTTCTCTTAAAATTCTCGTTCATGTGTTGTCTTCTTTCTTGTCTTGTCATGTTTGTTGTATAGATCTAATTTTTTTGACATATTTTTGATAGATCTACATGTCTCATTGTTTGTTTGGTTCATAAATTTGCTTGTTCCTTTAATCATGAACCAAACCGTGTGGTGCTTTAGGTTCTTGTGTTTGTGCCTTTTTATTTTTCTTGAGTCATTTTCTTAAATCCTAATCTGTGTATGAACAACATTATTAGCATGTGTTTTTTATTTGTGAAGTTGATGGAAAACCTAGGAAAAGTGATGGATGATCTTCTCCACCGTAACCGACCCTCGAACCCAATTCTGGCTATCAATGCCATTATTGGATTTAAAAAAAAAAAC